CGGGTGAAAGGAAAGCTATAGCTCGATCCGAATGATCTAAATTGGCTGCGAGACTCTTATAGTCGTACCCAGAGAGGCAGTAGCCGCTGCCGGCCGCCCTCTCCACCTTGCTCTACAACCGCGAGATGATGAATAATACCCTTTTTCTTGATATATAATGTCATTTTGACTGTTTGGGCATCTGGGTCTTAAATTGATGAGGCTCCTTGATGCATATCGATTGGGCCATTCGTACGCATTAGTTTGCCCGTTGTGGATTAACTTGTCGGAAGTGGCTAACAAATTCTATGTATGGATCTTGGGTTGGTCATGTCAATCCTCACGTCCCTATCATTCCCCAAGTGGATTTCCTCTTTGATTGATTAACAATCCCATTAACAACAACCTCCATGCCTAATAAAGTGACTTATATGTATTTCTTTAGTAGCAATATTGAAAAATTGATTGCCATACTAAGTCCAACCTAAAGTGAATGAGGTTACATGGATTAGTATCCTTTAAGTGATTACCACTTGAATACTTTTCATCAGGGTAATGAAATTTTAGTCTCGATTATCGCGCTTTTGGGACCACATAAACATGTGCCTTGCGCATAAACCGATGGGAGTTGTTGAAGCTTTAGCTCAAGACGGACGGAAGCCAGCACGTTGGGCTTAGGACATGCTACATTATCTTTTATACGTAACGCGTTTCCAACACACTCGAGCAAAGAAAATGCTTATGAATTGATACATAAGTATAGATTTGCTCCAAAAGCTATACTCAGTGAAGCAATCAATCATGGTACCTAAAACATGTCTCGTTTCTATCTTGTTTGCAAGTTTTGTAAATCTCATTTGATCTCGTTCTCATCGTCGAAATTGCAACGTTCCTTATTCAGTTGCTTGACAAGTGAATTTGCACTTAGCCCCTTTTGAATCTTTAATTTAGAAAGAGAGCTGCTACCCCACATGTATAATTTCTCTGCTACTACTTCAACAACCTTCACGAATCTAGATTAGTTTAGTCGACATGGTATTCTGTATTCTTAATTTATCCTTCATGATTCATCAAGATAGCCACTTTTTCTCTTTACCTACCCACTTATGAGCATATTATGTCGGCGCACCAATGTAAGCAGATTATTCTTGAGCACTAAACGACAGCTCTTTGAGATAGTTCATTCATACGGAAGAATATATGCAAAAAAAAAAAAAACGTAGAAAAACCCTAGAAAATAGGCAGTAAGAAAGGTGCACTACATGCAATTATATGTATGTACACATGGATTTTTTTGGAATACGTATGTATATATATGTTGATGAGAAAATTACACAATCAATCCTAAATTTATTTTGCAGAGGTCAATTCAACCCTAAACTTTTCAATTTTATCAATTTAATCACAAACTTTGACTCTAAATTTTAATATAGTCATTTCGGTCAATTTTCATAGGATATCACTGACTTGGTGATCCAGTTATCGCCTGTCATCCTACGTGGTACACCACTACATTAGCCATTTTCGTTGAAAATTGACCGAAAAAACTACACATTGGAATTTTGCACAAATGTTTGGGATTAAATTGGCAAAATTTGAAAATCAAAAATTGAATTGACATCCGTATAATATGTTCAAGACTGATTAAATAATTTCTCCTATGTTGACCCAACAAAAAAAAGGCAATTACACGTTAAAATGTATGTACGAGTATAATACGAATTCACATGCAAAAAAACGAGGTGGTCTAATAGTGGGTGTCAAAAGAGTTATGACGTAAGAGCTTTGGTGATCCTGTCCTCCACAATAATAAAGCGCCATTAAATAATTGTAGCTTTTGTAACTTTGCAACGCATCTAAAAACCCTTTTTATTGAAAGAGATTGACACCTTTTAAGGTTTATATTTGATAAATGCAGTTCACTCACATTAGCACTAAAGGGCATGTGATTAAGACCCATTTGGCCACTAATGATCGATCGTACAATGATATATTTAATTAGTAAATTGGGGCCAAAAAAGAGGAAGAAAAAGTAGAAAAAGGGAGTGAGCATTCGCAATTAAAAAAAGTACGTGGAAATTACTTTTTCTTCTCGTTCGATTTGAACGCTTCGTGTATACATCGACCAATGTTTCTAGGGTTGAACTCCAATGATTATGTCTCGCACTCTCAACAAAGATCCAAGATCATTGAAAATTTCTTGTGAGGCGAAGACGGAATCCACCTGTTGATAAAGGCATGTAGGTTGATCATTTTCGACATCAGCTCTTGATCACTAAGTGGTAAGGTCCAATCTCAATGATGGGCACAGCTATGGTGTGAAGATCATTGCTACGCCCCTGCTATTTAATTATGGAAAATTGTCAAAAAAATCCTAAATTTATTGCACTTTTGCCAGTTCAGTCATAAACCTTTTTAATTTTATCAGGCTTGAGTTCTCTTAAACCTTGTCAAGTTTTGCCAATTGAGTCCATCCGGTCAATTTTGGCCGAAAATCACTAACGTGGATACTGGCCGTACGAGACATATTTTCATTTTTTGTTTCCCATAGTGACCGCCAAGGGTTGCCGGACCTCGCCGGTCGTGAAGCCCTCGCTTAGCTTCGCCCAAATCTTGGGCGAGGTTGCCTCACACGGCTGACATCCCCGTTAGCGATTTTTGGCCAAAATTGATTGAATGGACTCAATTGACAAAATTTGAAAGGGTTTAACCGGGTGGACTCAATTGCAAAACTTGAAAAGGTTTATAACTCAATTAGCAAAATTAAAAAGTTCATGAGCCAATTGGCAAAAGTACAATAAGTTCAAGAAATTTTGGACAATTTTCTCTATCTAATCACAAAAGAGAAAACTAGTTTAAAGGAAGGACCAACGACTTTCCTGATAGAAGTTTAGGAAATTAGAGTGATTTCATGCAATCAAAATTGATGGAGTTCAGTCATGATTGGCCGATCCGACATGATCATTGTCTCGAATCAAGACATCCCGAAAGATTGGCCGAGCTTCATACGAGGCCTAGGAAAATACCCCGATATATTAGAGGTTGCGACGCGTTTATTCGCGGCATTGGTATGGCGGACACCATCCAAACTATAGAGCTCGATCCATTCTTGCAAATGGCGTAACCAGGCTGATCACGAGTCGCTCTCACATCGTAATCATTTGTAGGACCCCTAAATCCCCAACAAACCATGAGACGATCTTCAAAGCCTGACTTTTCTAAGTGACCTAAAATAAAATTTCCAATTCTATGATCCCCATATACATCACGAAAAGGAGAGGCTCATAAAATCAACACCAAGGGTCACTTTTCGTTAGTTGAAATCAGAACGAGATCACGCGAGCTGATGATCTTACCAAATCTTCCACAGAAGGCAAAGAGATCCTACTTGAATCTACCAAAGGAGGCAAACAGATCCCACTTGATCTTGTACTTGTCACACATAGACAACGGTTGTGCCCTTGATCTTCAATCGCATCTTTGCAGATGTCATGTAGCCCTTTGTTTAAGGCCTTGGTGACATTGTTGTCATGGATCCGGAAGCATCCTGAGGACGTAAGGCGAGCTCTTTCGGAGCACATTGAGACAAGAAGAAAACATTTGCATGGTCATAGGAAGAGATTAACCTTAACTAAATCGAGTAAATGAGTGGATGAATATCAATATACCGATGCCAATTAGACATGCTCATCATATAGGGCAAGATGGTCTCAGTAACCAGATACACCTCCATGCACTAAATCGATCCATAAGAACAGAAGTGATCCAAGCTGTCGAGCAAGTGGATTCCAAGAAGAATCTGCCTAATTTGGTGGCTTGGATCCAGTGGTCCACATTTACTTAGATCCAGGGAAGAATCTGGCCTTGAGCAAGCACCTACTAGTACTGAATATAAAAGTTCAATGAGGTCGAGTCCGGGCTACAATAGGCCTGAAACTTTGTCTAAGGTGCGACGAGCAATAAAAGAATCTACAAAGGTTCAAATACATACCCATTTTACTTGCTTAGCCAATTCAAATACGAGCAGCGCTAGGGATACTAAAGACTCTGTATGTGGCAAACTGATGTGAGTGCTTCTTTAAGCTAGTAAGACTCATCTAAATACCCAACAAATATCTGTTACATTATTTGCAGACCAAATTAGTGTACCACATTTAAACTGCAATTCCTGTGCAAGTACTCGGAAAAGAAAACAAGTTAGAAGGGCAACGCAAGAGTTTATCGGATGCAGTTTCTGGTCAGGGCTTCTATTTCTTGGCTTTTAACAGGTGGGATCTGATAGGAGCAAAAGCAAGACCCTAACTTTTGAGGCCCATGGATACCCAATGATGAACTAGTTTGGTCTCAACCATGTATATAGTCAGATATGAGCACAGAACACAATATGAAAACACAATGAACTCACTTCCATAGCTAGCTTGTATAACCATGTTGGAGCCCCATCCAGAAGATATTACAAACAACTCTCTAGATTTTATTACAATTACACCTACTAATAATATCAAGACAGTATGCAACACCATCCCAGATTGCTTGATCTTTAACTGGGAAGAGAGGGGATACTTTTCTCTTGCCCAATGGTTTAGTTTAAATGTCATTGAAAGCTTTTCAGATCAAGGGCACTTCATACTTAGGTGCATAAACAACAGACAATATCACTCAAAGCAAATGACTTCCAGAACATAACCAAATGTCATTTCCCACCTACATGATACATAATCCTCAAACATAGCCAACCAACATCAGTAGAAGAAATTAAATATGAAGCAAACCATTAAGATGCCAATTGCCAAGCCGTTTCAGACATCAAGTGCCAGCAACTGCACACACCTTTAATGAATAACATGTAGTTATTGTTCAGCAGAAGGTATAGTCTGTTGTGATTAATCGATAGCCAACACATAATTGCTATGTAGAGCGCAAGGCAAGATGATATACTTCTAGAAAAGAATTAATGTTTTTCCCATGAAAATCATGATGCATGATGGTCTATATCATTGCCATCTTACAAAAAGGAACAATGCAACAAATGATGTTTCCAACTTGTTAAGCCAATAAGCATATATATCAAATAGCAATTTACAATTTTCAGTTCTCAACTGTATTCGAGACTTGCAACATATAAGTAAAATATATAGCTTACTGCAAGAAGCAACAAGAGAAACGACCTTCTGATAATGATAGCTTCTCCGCTTTTGTAACTGCTTCTAAGGGAAGGGGACTAAAAGTTCGAGATGGGCCGTAATAATGGGGAAAGCTATTAACTCCATCAACAACTTCATAAACCAATCCATCACCGAGCTGAAATAGAAGAACACTTCCATAAAATTGTATTCACTAGTAGGAAAGGGAAGAAAGCTAATTCGTGCAAGCTACTAGTACTAATGAAGAATCATCATCTGCGTCTCTCAAGAAATCGATCATCATTTGCACATGATTTAATTTCCTACCAGTGTATTCATGTTCCTACAGCAATGGCCCTCTGAAATTTCTAGGCCCTACCTCTGTGCAGATGGTGCAGTAAGAACTCGAATTAAATACTTGGAGATCACATTAGTTTGTCTCCTGAGCAGAAATTTTTTTCCAAATGCTGATACATTAAATTACAATATGCACATTACAAGCTTCACTGAAATTTACAACAAATTTCCGCACACCTGTTCATATGGCCGATAACTGTCTAGTATCCTAGCAGTAGCTAGCAACCACTAGAATGTGCATGCAAGCTCATTTTTGTTTAAGTCATATCGCATTCTCATGCATTTAGCAGTGCTGGACATGTGTCATAGATCATTTGCTAAGTGGAGACAAAACACACCAGTACATATCCCATAAAAGCAGAAGAAATAGGAAAATTGACAACTCCAGCTGTGCTAGACTAGAATGATAGATTCTCAAAACTTCAAAAGCATGGACTGTTTGATTATTATATAGGTGAAACTTCATTGGAGTTTCGTTACATTACGAAGTTCCTGCTCTGCTGTTGAGTACATTCTACGAATTATTCAGTCAATGATTTCATCTGCAATGGAAACCACAAAGCAATTCCAATGGGGGGTCTATATCAAGAATCTTCAGCCATATTAAAGTTTTGTTCGATGCTGAGGGCCTCTAGGTAAAAAGTCATTATCTCCTGATTCCTGTCCATAATGGAAATTTTTTTAAACTTCAAGAACAAAATTTAATAGCATTGACATCCTTCGTGCATCAAATGAAGCATATCACATACTCATTGTCTACATCTAGGAAGTGAAAATGGCAACTTTAAAGCCGTCAACACTCAGCATATTGTTATTAATGACTTTTAGCTACTCATTACTCAAAGATAGCTAGACTGCAACGCAGGAAATCCATGGAAGCATTAAACAAGCTCCATTCTAATTAGATTGACACTTCTTTAAGTCATGAAAAGAGTTTTTCCCTTCAGGATTGTTGTGGATTTCTGTGGAAACGGCCCTCAGACACTTTGGAAAATAGAAAAGTGAAATTGGTCCTTTTCCAAGCTCTATAATGCAAGAACCTCATGCACACCTTTCTTCACCAAATTCATCACATGTTATGTTCTTTCTCACGATAATTAAATGTCCCCAAGAAATTCTCCATTATCTCCCAATGAGAATTGAGCACATAGAAGCTCCAGAAACAATAAGCCTTTCGCAAGATACAATAGAATCTAAACCACAATAAAAGATTTAGATCAACACAGTTGATGGGGAACAGCAAGTTGATGAACAGACAGCACTATGTGTTGCCCTTTAAGTAACCACTAAGACACTATAATATACTAATTTGACTAACTCCACAAGAAGTTTTCTTTTAGAAGGATGTGGATTATAAGAATTCCTCTTATTATACTCTTAATATATTTGACTAGACTCGTAGAAGGAGATGACTACATGCATACCTTCTTGGCATCAATCTGAAGGAGGTAGAGATCATCCTTAAAGTTCAGAAAGAAGCTCTGTAATGTAGATTGAACCTGGAATAAAGACAACGAACATTCAGCTACAGAAAGTGTTTATTATCTGATCTAAGAAGCAGCTCATCCAAAACACCAACTTAACAAAAAAGAGAGAAAAAAAAAAAGAAATTGCAACCATGTTAGCAATCTTGCAAGTCACATGACAAAAAATAGATAAAAGCTTAGAGGTAATGAAATAACTCGACAACTACAATTAAGTTCCAAAGCCTTCCTGTTTCCAATTCCCCCTCTATCAGCCCATCTCAAAGGCCTTTTTCTATTCCAAAAGGTCACTTCCATGGCTTGGCTTCATCAATCCTTCCGCTCAATTACTGATTGACCAGAAAGCTGATAAACCACCACTTGCTTAGTGCATCAGCCTTTAACGATTCTGTATTAGATTGGTATGTCATGGGCATCAAGCATGTAACTTCAGATTATTGTATTTGCACTAAGTATCGCTGATGTACTGGTATTCTTTTTTCTATTTTATTCTTTCGACTTCGACTAGAATCTTATCTCTGTATTGATGCACTCGTATTCCTGCATTCTTTCTGTACGACGTCGAAGCAACAAAACAAATTTCTGTCCAGTCTGAGCCAAATCCAATATTACCCTTTGACCCGCTGAAAAAGTGCAGCTTGGACAAAACATGAGCCCATTCTGAAGCCGCAGGTCAAAGATTAACTGGGCAAGATGATACTTCAATGCATCACCAAAACCATTCGAATTAGAGTCGTACAAAAGAACAGAGAATAAAAGAAGAAGATCCTTTGGTCCGTGCGCCACTGGACAAACTCATGATCAAGAAAAACGAAAACCCAGAAAGGAAGAAGACCCAAGATCAAATTTTGAAGCCATATAACCGATCAGAGAGACACCTGAGAGAGCTTGCTGAGATGGAAGCAACCGGTGGATTTGTCAAGATCGCCACCATAAGCGTGACCATCTCTCTGTAAAGCCTCCCACTCCTTGAGCGTGCTGATTCTGTACACATACTCTTCTCCTTCTTCCTCCTTTTCCCGCTCCATTTCTCTGTGTTCAATATCCCTCGAAGCTCGGTCGCCACCGCACGAATGGATGATGGTCGTCGCCCCCTGATGTTTCAGGAGGATCAGCTGACTAAGAAAGAGGGAAATTAAAATTATAGTCCCCCTACTTTCGCTGGTGTTCAGTTTATGGACAGTTTAAGGACTCTTTTACAATTTTGTCCAAATCTCAACCCAATTTAAGAGATGTAATCTAAATTTTGCAGCGGACGTATTTAGAGTTATCCTAATTTCGCAATATATAAATGCTGAGATGTAAAACGCACATATAATCTTTTCATAATTTCGAAAAACTAAAAGTGAGATAAATTACACTTTTGACATTATAATATAAATAATCTATCTACTTTTTAAATAGGCTCGCAATTCATCTTTAATAGTATATTTATAACGAGAGTCTATTTTTATGTGTTGGCTTCGTAATTGTCCTTCATTCATGCTGGTTATTCAAGATAGTCTCTATTTTTCATTTGGTTTAGTAAGTGTATAATGCATGTGAAATTGAATTAATTGAAAAATGACGAGTGATCTCAATCGTGTGGATAATATTGATATTTACAGAATATATATAGCTTCGATTACACGAATCAATTGCTAGTCGCATAGTTTTCATGATAATTATGTAAGAGATAATGATACAAATAGTTCATGAACTTTGTTTCAATATACAATGTAGTCTTGGAACTTTTAAATTGTTTAATGTGGTATATGAACTTTGGCCTACTTTTTAATATGGTTCTTGAACTTTTAATTTGTTCAATGTGGTTTTGGACTTTTGATACATGTTCAATGTAGTCCCTGAATTATATGAAAATGTTTAATATAGTCCCCGATATTGAATTAATAAAAGAAAGAACTACGTTGAACATTTTCATATAGTTCATAGACTAAATTGAACATATACAAAAAATTCATGTACTACATTGAACAAATTAAAAGTTCAAGGACCACACTGCACATTAGGTTAAAGTTCAGGGATCACACTACACATTGAGTTAAAGTTCGGGGATCACACTAAACAAGTTAAAAGTTCATGGACCACATTACACATTGAACCAAATTTCATTGATTATTTGTGTCATTTTCCCATTATGTAATGATTTCGGCATAATTTCTTGGGATAATGACACAAACAGCTTGAATTTTAATAAGAATGTGCAATTTGTCTCTCTTAAACTACATTGAACATTTTTATATAGGGTAGACTAAATCGAATACGTATCAAAAGTTCAAGATAATCGTGACTACATTAAACATTTTCATGTAATCCTTCTATTAATAAAGTTCAGGGATGACATTGAACAAATTAAAAGTTCAAACATCACATTGAACATTAGAATAAAGTTCAAGGACTATATTGAATAAATTAAAAGTTCATAAACCAAATTATATATTGAACAAAAGTTAAAAAACTGTTTACGTCATTTTCCCCAATTTCTTTCTAAATCAAACAAAAAGATATGTCGCAAAAAATTTTTTAAATGTATCTCGACTATATAAATGGAAGTACGAGGGTGATGTTTAATCAAATAAAATACAAAGAAAATTTTGGAGTTTTCAATACGAGCATAGAAATCACTAGTTTCAAACCAAGGGAGATCTCAGTTTTTGTTCCCGAGTAGATCTACTGAGTCACGAACTCGCTCGAGTCGCAGCTTCTTCTTCCTTATTGAGTCAGCAAACAACCTCGGCTCGCTCGCCTCCCACCGAACTCAGCAGTCTCGCGCCCACTGCTGAGCCCGAGCTCCAGGCATGGCCTGCACGACTGCAATGGCGAGACCAGCGACGTTCCGGGCTCGTGATCGCCAGCTCAAGGAGCTCGCCTTCGTGGCCTCGAGCTCTCCCCTCCTCAAATTCGGCGCTTCCCGGGTCCGTCTGCTCAATGGGAAGCTACATCGTGCCGGAAATGCGTCGGCTCTTCCCGTCATCAGAGCCGAGGGCGGCACCCCAGGTGGGTAGGGGAGAAATGGGTTTCGATTCATTTGGGTGGTTGGGGTGTTCCAAGATGGGTCTGTGCTTCTGGTTGGTTTGATGGTTTGTGGACTCTTGCTTTTGTTCGTCGCAGAGTATTTCCCAGATGCCAAATTCTACAAAGTAGAAGCGATTCTCAGGTGTGCTTTGCGGTTCTGCTTCCCATTTTCAAAATTTGGGCTGTGATTGCTGCAAAAGAACGTGCTTTCCTCTGTACTTGAACAAAATATCCAAGCGAAAGATGTTTCGTTGATTTTTTTTTCCTTCTTTTTGATGGATGGATTTGGAATGACGCAGGCCTTGGCGTGTCCCCCAGGTTTCCTCGGTAAGTTGTTGGAGCAAATTTCCCACCTTTTTCCTCTTTCTTTGGGTTTCGGAAATTATACTTGTGGCAGTGTAGATAGAAGATGAGGAGCATATTTCGCCTACTTGGATCGGCATTTGGTCGCTGCGTTGTTGTTAGATCAGTGTACTGCGATTGCATGCCTTCGGGTTGAAGCTTGATTTGCATGAGATGGTGTTGGTAGTTTCGATTGGCAATTCTTTTCATGCACTGCATCATTTGAACTGTCTGAACTTTTTTTAGCTGGTAGGGACAATCGTCATTTGATGGTCATCGCTTGACTTTTGAGTGCTTTGAAACATCCCTGCCTGCTCATGAAAAGGTTGTATTAATTGTGGGAACTCTATAGAAAAAAAAAATGATTCTGTATTAAGAACTCGTGAAAGGGTGAAGGTTTCTTGATAGTTTGGTTAATAGAGAATTGTCGATTCTGGAAATAGTATTATCCAGGGGGATTACACACGAAAATCTTCAATTAAGGCCTGCAGGGGAGCCAACCTTCATCGAAAGATGATAATGGTGGTTGTTTGTCCTTGAAGTGAGGAGATTTAATTGTTCATGCTCCAAATGGCTGTGCATAATCGATTGTCTCTCTGGGATTCTAGGCTCTGCTTAAGATGGGTATTCGAGGCGTTACTGTTTCGGATGTTCGGGGTTTTGGTTCTCAGGGAGGCTCTACAGAAAGGCAGGCTGGTAAGCTTTTTGTGCTGTGGGATACTAAACCTTTTGTTTTGGAGTAGAGTATACCATGTTGAGCAAAAAAATGTAGGCTATTTCATATATGTGTGATTTGGATTGAGGATTAAATATGTCATTGAATAATGCTTTAATTGTTATATCTTTGCTGGTTCCATTCAATAGGCTCTGAATTTTCTGAAGACAAGTTTCTAGCTAAAGTCAAGATGGAGATTGTGGTGAGCAAGGAGCAGGTATCATATTACTAGCCATTAACCTGCTCTTTGACTTATCTTCCCGGGACATATTTTGCATTTTGCTCGGCGTGCTGAAATAACTTTGGTTTCTGGTGGTGTGATCTCATCAGTTCCATGATTTACTCTTCCTTAGGTTGAAGCAGTAATTGACAAAATAATCGAGGAGGCAAGAACGGGAGAGATTGGTGATGGCAAAATTTTCTGTAGGCCTTCCCATTCATTTATCTAATATGCATAAATTGTCTTGCTGTGATCCCTTGATGCTTTGGCTATTCTTATCATTCTCGTAGCCTTTTCTGGTGGTGACCCATAGATGTCAGCCATTTTATTATATGATACATCCGGGCAATCTGCACAGTTTTAGAGAACATGGAGTCAGAGTGATTAAATACCTCTACCAGCATTTCAACTGATGGAGACAATCTTTCATCCCGAATTCTTGATCTCATCTAAGTTCCGAATTTTCAGCAAATGTCAAATTTAGTGGAAAGCTACTTCTCTTATTACATGAGCGAACTAAGTTTTAATAATTTCATTCTGAAGATTTATTTAATTTTCTTTATCTTTATCAAGTTAAGAGAATGGCGCGCTTATGTAATAATGCCACTGTTTGTAGAAGTTTGTTAGTACCTATATATCTATATAGTTATGATCATACATTGAGACACAGGAATTTGGAAAACCTACGCTTGCCAATTAGCTTTGCCAATTGACACCATACCAAGAACAAACTCCAATTATTTTTTCAAAATCATCAGTAGTTCACTGGGTACATGTTGAACTTTATAAAATAGGGTGAGATCGGGTAAAATCTGCAGACTCTCTAGGGTTTGTTTTTAGCTGTGTTGATCAGGAGGTTGTATGCACGGATACAAACGTAAAGGTGGGCAACATGAAGATTCTTTCTTTGCCTTTTAGGAAGTAGTGCCTTTTGCTAATGTGCATGTCAAAAGTTTACCTTGCTATTGCTAATTTGCACCGTACCCTTTGATGAAGTTGTATTGGTTATCCTTTTTCTTCCTTTATGTTTCTTTAGGAATTTTTGGTGTCGGTTTTCTTTTGATTGATCGCTGTTACCATATAATTAGCTTCTAGAGAGGTTGATATTCTTCGAATGTACTTATTCATATTGTATAAGTAATTGCTATACATCAATAGGTTACTTCGTTTTGGTTAGTGAAAGTATGTAGTCATGTGGAGATGTTTAACGATTATAGCATTCTTAATAAAAAAATAACTGTCTTTTGCTGGACGTTGCAGTGGTGCCCATCTCAGATGTAATAAGAGTTCGCACAGGTAATATTTCAATTGCCTAGTTGACTTAATGAAGAACATTATGCTATCTGCTTGTTCCAGAAACACCCCTAATAAAGCTGATGTTCAGGTGAGCGTGGAGAGAAGGCCGAGAGGATGAGCGGAGGCAGGGCCGACATGTTCTCGACTTCCTAACATTTTACAGGTTGTGGATCCTTCAGCCAAGCTTTAGTTAGCATCCATTACCTGACTCACTCCTTGTAAAAGTTTCTGAAATTTTACCGTGTTTGAAGAGTCTAGAGTCAACACCAGTCATGTCTCTTGAGTCATTGGACCATGGTTGATTAGGTCAATAGTTAACCCAGACGGTCCAAGAGGAGGAAGCAATGGATCCGAATGATCGGCTTCTTATGTAGTGCCTTGTCTGAAGGAGTGCTGTCAATTACCTTGGGTTGCTGGGGGCCCTTCAACATCGATTTAGCAGTGCTAATAATGTTCTGTAATGTCGCATGTCAATGAAAATTTAGCAAGCGAAACTCATTGAATCAGTGTCTTTGAAGCAATCGTTGACATCAGGTGTGTCGGGCGCTTCTTACACGTCGAAATATGTTTCCATATAAGGGACAGCAAGACAGATTCGTGAAGCATCATAGGAGCCGAGTAATCAACTTCACCAATACTTGTCATCTGATCAGTTGTTCAGGGACATGGTCCCTCTATCCCGTATGGTGCTTCCATGTGAGTGTCTCATCTCAGTCCATCCCAATCGTTAGCGCATGCCTTGTTTACATTCATGGGGTCTAGGTACGGCACGGAGATTCTTCATCCATTACCATGGCTGCCAAAACAACAAGCATGACAGATCAATCACGAAAACAGGTGCAAGACATCTAAATCCAAATGCAAAGCTCGAAGCGTAGCTCGTTTTTAATATGGTTTGCATTCTTCAGCCAAAAAATCGGATAGATGTGCTGCACAGCCTTACACCTTAAGCCTTTTCTGAGTTTGAAAAACGAGGGTCCCCATGTTACATTAAGCCGAACCAGAACTTAGAAAGCGATATGAAAAGAAGAAAGAATAAAAAAGAATACTAGTCCGCTTGAGATCAACTATTACGATATTCTTTTACTTGGCATATCAATTTATGCACGTAAATTCACTTGCTAAGAGTCACTATTACGAGGAAATCTGTGATTCCATGAGAAAAGAAGGGGGAGAAAAGAGGAGATGATGAAGCCAAACCAAAGTGAAAAGGCCATCGTAAGATAACAGACATAATTCCCTGATAAACCTCAAACATTAAATTTAGACCCAAATTTATACCGAATTTTTTTGTTGTATGATAAAAAACCACAAACTTTGAGTTCCCAAATGTATACACAGTTAGGTTTTCATCCAAACTACACCATTAGGCTACGTTAAGTCCACGCGTAATTGATATGCTACCCCATGTTACATTAAGCCGAAGCAGAACTTAGAAAGCGATATGAAAAGAAGAAAGAATAAAAAGAATACTAGTCCGCTTGAGATCAACTATTACGATATTCTTTACTTGGCATATCAATTTATGCACGTAAATTCACTTGCTAAGAGTCACTATTACGAGGAAATCTGTGATTCCATGAGAAAAGAAGGGGGAGAAAAGAGGAGATGATGAAGCCAAACCAAAGTGAAAAGGCCATCGTAAGATAACAGATATAATTCCCTGATAAACCTCAAACATTAAATTTAGACCCAAATTTATACCGAATTTTTTTGTTGTGTGATAAAAAACCACAAACTTTGAGTTCCCAAATGTATACACAGTTAGGTTTTCATCCAAACTACACCATTAGGCTACGTTAAGTCCACGCGTAATGCTACCGGTCTAACTTTCTAATTTTTTTTTTGTTCACTTTTTCTCTCCCCTCACCCTCACCCAAGGCCCACGTCATTAAATGTTAGAATTCTTCTCTCCCCTCTCTCTCTCCATCAGAGCCCAAATTAAAGGTCAGCAAAAAAACTTCATTTTTCTTCTTCAGCATTTGGAGGAGCGTGAGCCTGCGAGTCAAACGGTGGTCCGCACCCTATACAAGGCCCTTCAATTCTGCGAGCCGCCTACCGCATGTTTCCCCCAATCTTGTGTGGCGGTTCCACCCCCAAGTTCTTGATGCGCCTCCTCTGCCATGTCGAACGACACCTTCCTCTTTGTCCCAGACTCCGTCACCTCCTTTGGCTCGATTGTGGTCATCGAGGGCTTCGACCCTATCCGCTACATCTTGTGGGTCAACGCTTGTCCAAGATTGCCTCGCTGCTTTATTGCCAGTCGCTGTGGGAGAGCAGCGTATAATGATATATAGCTAGATCCAAAAAAGTTTATGCCCAGTCTAGTTCTTGCTGGACTGCAATCTTGTCGGTGGCGGCATTAATTGCCTCGGAGCCCGTCAGTGGGGACAAATTTGTCCTTGATCTCAACTGTAAATTCGGGGCGATTGTCATGTGGGTTGTCTTGGGGTCACATGAAGAGAGGGATTCGCATGCAAATGCCCTGCCCAATGGCAGGTTGATGTTGGTGAGGGATTCGAGGACGCTAAGCTTGCTGGAGGATCGGTGCCGACGACAACGACGACGATGGGTAGCTAGATTCCCTCCTCCATGACCATAAGGTGTCGAAGCTTGTCGACCTGAGGGGGAGCTCATGACGCGGAAGGGATTAACAGGGAGAGAGAGAAAACAAAGTTGAGAAAATATTGAGTGGGTCGTAGCTCATAAATCACTTCATTAATTGACTGCCAAGTGTCCTAGTTGACCAGTTAATTTCAATTTTTTCCTGCACCACACCCTAAATCAGCAAATGCTTGCACTCCATTAATGACAAGTAGGAGTGAGCATGGTTCTAAAGTAGAACTTGGAACCTGAGAACCTGACCAGTGAAAGTCTATGGGTTTCAGGTTTTAAGATATGCAGAGTAGGTTCCAAGTTCCAAAAATTTAGGAACCTGTTCCGACGGGTAGGTTTCGGGTTCTAGATAGGTGGAACTTGAAACCTGAAACCTAAACAACATTTTTTGTATTTTTTTCTTGGTCTATGTCTTCGCGTGATCATGTGGTGTTTCATGCGTTAGATGATGAGTGTATAATTTAGAACCACTAGTATGAGCTTTCATTTTATGACTTGTTAATATTTCATATTCTTCTTGTGTCTAAATATAAGATATGGTTAGTGGATCATAGCAAAAAGTGGTGGTTGTTAAAGATGATAATTCACTGCAATTGTTCAATTAATAATACAGATGAAACCTGGGTAGACCGTGAAACCGACCCTCGAACCTATGATAGGGTAGGTTTCAAGTTCAAAAAAATGAGAAACCTATTATCATGGGTGGAACCTCTATGGAACATGGAACTGCTCACCCCTAATATTGATTCATACAATGACTTCTTATTTTAATTATATTTATTTGAATCGTAATAACAGGAAAACTAGTTTTTGTATTCTCTTTAGTGAATGACAAGCTTATTTAATATCGTTACGTTAATGAAATAAATAAATAAAAAGAAAGAACATGTTAGACCCTGGAACCTACCTTGGAACTTGTGATAAGATAGGTTCCAGGTTTCGACGGGTAGGTTTCAGGTTCCAAAATATGAGGAATCTATACCCAAGAGTAGGTTCCATGTTCCATGTAGAACCTGGAAGAAACCTGGAACGCTCACCCCTAATGGCAAGCTGCGCAAACAAAGATGTGCATAACAAGACGACCAAATTTATGGGGAAAATTCACAAGCAAAATCCCTTGAGTTTGCAGACAAATCTCGAGGTTGTTGAATGAAACGAAAAGAGAATGCAGCTGCAAAAAAATTCATAAACTCACACCTAACCTTGAAAAACACAAACACCTACACCTCATAGAAACCCTAAGCTCGAGCCGTCCTCTCTCTCTCCTTCTCGTTCTGAGAACATGAAGTCACCACCTCGCGGTAGTGGACGACCTTGACCTTCTCGAGCTCCACGTTCTCCGGGTGACGCCATAGCATTGAGATATCAAGGTTGTGTGCAAGTGGGAGAGGCTTGTATATGTTCCTAAAGTACCTGTTCAAGAAATCCTGTTGTTGATATATGATTTTTGGCCCATTTTTCAAATTTTCTTAAAAATCACAAAATTAGGATTGGGAACCTTGGCCAAGCCTAGGAACATATTTCTAAATCAAAAATAAATTTTTTAGAATTTTCCTGAATTTTCTTTAATTTCTTTGGGCCAAAATAAGAGAGAAAATCAAGAAAAATACCAAATGGAATCCAAAAATTCCATAAAAATATCCATTAGTCCTATTTTAATTCCAATTTCATCACTGAAGCTTAAATTTCATAAAATATCAATTGGGAATATGTTTTCCCAAAATTGAGTAAATTCATGCCCAAATTGAATAAAAAATTCAATTGAGTCATTTTTAGTCATTTTTAGGCCATAGTTTCTTCACAAAAAATAATTCTGGGACCTTGAATTGCATGATGGTCAATCCAATTTCACAATTTAACAAGAAAATTGAAAAGCCCCAAAATATCAATTGAAAATTAGGATTTTTAAGCCCAAATTGAGAACTTGGTCAATTCGAAATTTTCGGACAAAGACAACACCATTCCTAGGGTTAATCATTCATGGGTAATTCAATTTTGGCATCAATTTTTCCTAATTAGGTCATTTGGACACTGAATTGAACAAAAACACTAGTGATCCGAATTCAAAATTTGGAATTTTGGGTTTAATCGTGACAAAAATTAGGAAAAATGCCATATTTTGATGCAAAATGTGCTGAGGAATCCAATTTTGGGGTTAAATGTGAAAAATTAAGTCAAAATAGGGGTTAATTTGCAAATTCGAACCAACCCGGGTCGATCGATTCAACCCGACCCGACCCGACCCAACCCGGGTCGGTCATCTTCTCCACCCACCCAGGCTTGTTCACGTGAGAAAGAAAAAATATCTTCCCCGAGGCTACCTCTTCGCCAACTTCGCCAGGCTAATCCAACACGTGTTAAACAAATTTAACAGCGATTGAAATCAAGCTAGAAAAGAGGAAAAAATCATTATCCCACAGAGACCACCTGCTCGAGAAAATTCCAGAGAGAAGAGAGAAAGAGTTAGAGAGAGAAAGAGAGAGGAATCAGAAGAGAGAGAGAGAGAGAGAGAGGAGTGGAGATCCCCTAATCGAGTGACCGGTGCCGATCGATTGAACGGCGTCGGCGAATCGATCATTCAAGTAGGATCTCCTCCTCAGATAACCAGCACAAATATGGTCGCGAGGCTCTGAAAATCGAGTTCGACCAGTGGATTCAGAGGCTTTCTGCCGAAGTGGCATCCACAAGCTGAAAGTTCAAGTGTCGGAGAATAGTCCTACGGTGGCCGATTAGCTCGGAGACTCCTATTTGCCCTCCGTCGAAGTAGGTAAAGTTTGATCTTCATCACGATTTTTTCGGAATCCCAGAAAATGAGTTTGAGTGTGATATTGTTAATCATGCGATTTCTTTGGTGATTCTGGGTTCCTTAAGGTTTAAA